TACTTGTAAACCGACTCAGTTTACTAATAGCACATGCTATATCTGGTCGCATACAATTCATGACATACATCAAAACTTTCCAATACTCTTGCATAGTCCAGTTATGAGTCACTTTCACCTTCATTCTTTTGAAGCACATAACTTACGTCAATTGGAGTCTTGGCAATTTTGAAATCCAAATACTTGAACTTGTCAAGTACCTTTTCAATGTAGTGAGACTGTGATAATGCTAGACCTTGTGGAGTCTTGTGAATTCTGATTNATCAGCAACTCCTAAGTCTTTCATATCGAATTTGCTAGCCAACATGCGCTTAGTAGCATTTATATCTGCCATGTTTTTGCTCATTATCAACATGTCATCAACATATAAACAAACAATGACTTCATGACCTGGAGTGTTTTTAATGTAAACACATTTGTCGCACTCGTTGATTTTAAATCTCTGAAGCCGAAGCCGAACCGAGCCGAGCGAGTGACGACGACGACGGCACGAGGCTTGCCTTCTTCTTAACTCTTTAAGAGATAAAAGAAGAGCAATTATATATATACCCATCAAAAGCCTTTTCTTCCTCCAAAATGGGACAATGTCCCTTTGCCAAGAAGGAAAACTCAAATATTTTATTTTTCCTCCATTTTTCATTCACCCTCTTTAAGCTACACAAGCTTAAAATCCCAACATATTTCTCATAAACCAAGTAGTACTATATATATATATATATATATATCAAGATATTCACTAGACGAAAATCTTGCACTCTATATGTGATAGAAAGATGGATTCATGGAAATCATATCCTCTTTAAATATATTTAAGAAGTGGAAAGGAATCTCACTATCTCTGGATTTGAACTGAATAGACTGGTCCTATTACAGAGACATACTTTAATATTCTGTTACAAAACTTCAATGATGTGATAAAGAACTATGAGGAGCTTTCTTGAGTTTATTACAGAGACATACTCTCTTGTATGTGTTTGACTCTGTAAAGACAGAGACTTACAAGAATTTTAAGAGAATAAAATTAATTGGTGGAAGGAACTAAGGTCAATCAAACAGAAGATAAATAAAGCTATTCCTCCAGACAATTCAAGAAACAAGTCAATAGAGGAAAATTATGAACATCCCTTAAGAAAATGTGAAGTTTTAACTATTAATAAATGAAAAATGAATATGAGAAGTTCAACTTGTCTTAGAGGCACAGGTACAACAATTAAGAAAACGGAGAAGGACAAATAAGCTATTTCATACAGTTCAGGAAAGCAAAGTTACGGCTCTTTTGGTTTGAAGCAGCTAGAAATATTAGAATATTATAGTTAAAATTTAAACCTATGACCTAAAGCAAATACTGTTGTTTTCGTCAAAAATAGCACCGGCTAGTCAATTTTCGGACTAATAGTTAAAACATAGCCAGCGTTTGTAAAGTTATTCAAAAATAGTCACTATTTTGCTGAAACACAGAAAGTTCCAGCATAATATGCTGGATTATGGAGCTTCTGCGTATAAATTTCAAGCATATTATATTGGAACTTGATGTCGTGCTATAATTCCATATATTTTGACGTTATTTACCCTACTTGTTTGTTGTTTGAATGCTAATTTGTGCGACAATTGAGCTTAATAGAGCTTATTTCACATGTAGGAATGCTTGGACATGAATTGGAGAAAAGTTGCACGAAATGATACCTCAGAGCTACAAAATGGAGCAATAAAAGAAGATGTGCAAGGCAATGAAAAGTCATGGTCATAGACAGTGCAAGGCATTGTCCACGGCACTGTCATTGGCACCCCTGACAGTGCCTCGCCCACAAACATTGGCGCCCCTGACAGTGCCTCGCGCCGACGATACTATCCTAGCCAATTTGATTTCCTCACTATTTTTGGGCGTGTAAACTTCGGCCCAACCCTATAAATACCTCTTAAAGTTAGTTTTTGAAGGGTTAGACATCATTAGAGAGGCAAGAGGCTACGAAAACGCTTTGGAAGCACGAATCACTCGAGTTTTTCTCTCCGATTTTCTTTAATTTGTAGTTCAATACTTTTAGATATTACTATGATTGTTTACACAGGTATGAGTAGCTAAACCCGTCATCTAGGGTTGATGGAACCAATTGTTGGATGAAGTCTTGATTGCGTTTTGATATAATTGAGCTGTTTTTATTCTTTAATTGTTCAACTATGTGTTTCTTGTGGTTAACTGAAGGGCCCTTTGATTAATCGTGTCTAGTTATCTTGTGTTGCTTGAGAGAGAACATTTGATTAGATTGTTATTGAACAACGCTATTTTCGAGTAACTTATGAGATTAATTACTTGAATTTAAAAGCGGGATTAGAGATAGCGAAGCTTTGGCGCGATATTTATGAGTTATACGAATTGTCAGCTAGAGTAGTTCGATAAAATACTTCTAGTAAATTTTATCGTAATTGATCGAGAGATAATTGCGGTAAACAAGAACTCATCATCTTTAGAGAGTGTTGCGGTGAGATTATCGTTAACGTGTCAGGAATTAATCCGGCAATTGAGAAAATCATAAATCCTAGATCTTTTTATTCTTGATTCAACCTTATTCTTGCCGGTTGATAGTTTTTATTGTCATTTCTTCTTAGTGAAGTAATTTTTGTTAATTCGCAAATCAAATCTTGAATTGTGAAAGTTGTCTGAGCTTATTTTTAGTGATACTAAAAAGTTATAGCAAATAGGTTAGTTCCCTGTGGGATTCGACTCCGTACTCTTAAACTGAATTATTTTTGTAGCGATCGCTTAGTCTTTTTTATAAGGCATAGTTGAGCGTGATTAGAACTCCAACACAGAAAGTTCCAGCATAATATGATGGATTATGAAGCTCCTGCGTGACTGCGTATAAACTTTCAATATATTATGTTGGAACTCCACCGCATTATGAAGTTCCAGTACATTATGCTGGTATCTTATATGTAAAAAAATTCGAACTCCCGCATATTATGCTGGAATTTTTTCGGATTTTAAGGGTGTTTTACATGAAAGAGTGGCTAAATTTCGATTACTTTTGAAATTGTGACTATTTTTCAATTACCAGTTATAAATATGTCTATTTCTAATTTTTTTCCCCGCTATTTTCACTTATGCTAAGAGATTCAAGTTTATATTTAATAATAAAATAATGTTTATGCCCTATTTGCACAATATTATTTTTGGGTGAAGAGGACTAAATTGAACCCTTTCTTTCCATCTAGTTCCACGCTGCCATAAGGGGTCAACTCGTTAATGTATCCAATTTGGCCATTTAGGTAGCAATAAATAAGATGGACATCAAATTTTACATGCTAAAAGTGAACTGGAAAATCAGAAAAGACCTAAATAAATGCAATTGTAAAACCTTGACAAACAAAAAAAACACCAACTACCTAGAATCATATGGTTTGAAACTAATTAACGGCTCATACTATACTAGGATTGCAAGATTGATTTTTTTGAAAAAATAATTTTTCGTAATTATGTAGAAGGGGTCGGAGGATAACGATAACCAAATTGTTCCTATTGTATCTTTTAATAGTTGCACCCATGTCTATCAACATCCACTTATTGAGTATGTTGGGTAAATAATACTTAGTATTAATAATAACACTATATGATTCATGGTTAATCACAAATATATGGATCAAATAGACACGATAAATTCATCTGGCACTTCTTTGGTTGTTTTACTAAATAAAGCTATCTTAATAGATTTTTCTAATTACAAATTAAATGTGTATGCTTCACTTTAATTCATTCCAATAATATTTAAATTTCTCCCTTAATCCATTGTGATAACTTATTATCAATCTCTTCCTAAATAAAAAAAACAAAACAAAAAGAATCAGCTAACAAATTGTCCTGAAAAATGTTTGTTAAAAATCACATTCATATGTTTCACTAGTTCTCCAATTAGGAAGTTCAAAATGACGAATACAACAAGTCTAGGGAGTAAATAGCAATTATCCAAAAATGACAGCTCCCTCTATAAAACCTAGTGCCCACATTCCTCCCCATAGCTTTTGGTAACTCTTTTATTCTCCCGCTCTTCTACACAGTTCTTCGCACTCAAATCTCCTTCTTCGAACTCGCAAACTTTCAGTCTCTGTAAGTTTGTCATGTTAACGGTATTCATTTTACAATTCTCGCGTATTAAGTCTATATTTTTCTCCGTGTACATAATTTGTAAGTTTAATGTTTAAAAAATTTGGTGTCAATTTTCTTGTTTGTGGGAGGGTTTATGCTTTGTTTATGTGTCTAGGTATTTTTTGTTCTGGAAAGATATGGTTCTAGAAGGTTCTGGAATTGCAGGTTTTGTCAATTAGGGTTTTAAAAACATCAGGGTTTTGGAGGTCGTAATTGAAGTAGGAGATTGTACGGAGCTTTGGGTTGATTTTTTTTTTGGTTGGGGGTTGGGGTATCTCAAGGTATTAAGGTTTTGTATTTTTGCAGTTTCTGGACTTAGTTCTTTGGTAACGGGAAATCAGTGGTTTCCAGTAGATAATGTACCCGTCCCTTCGCTCTTCCCCACTTAAATACCAGACTTAGTTCACCATTATGATTTCAACTTGTGAAGTGGCGAGATGCAGTAATACCTTTGCTGCTGAACCGAAGCCTTGGGGGCTTCTGGGCTTAGTAATAGAGGAAGATTTGATCAAATAAATAAGTTGTAATATGTAAGATGTTATTGGGTTTTGTGACTTTACACTTCAGTAAGCTATTGGGGGGTTTTTACTCTTTCTTTTTTCTGTTGATAAGATTCAATCTAGGGATTTTACTTGAGCAGGCGAGGTGTGTTTGAGATTTTCTTGGTTCAGTGATGCATTTATGAAATGATGATGATAAGGCTGTTCTTTGAAGGCAAAAAGGAATATGTATTTAAACTTAAACACAAGTTTATTCTTTTGCTATAGTTTAGGTGCGGTTAGTCTATTGTAAATGAAGGTACATGCTGTGTTAGACATGCTTAGTCTTCTGCACAACTTGCTGTAAACCTATGTAGCACTTTCTTAGTGATTTTGTTCATCAATAATACTTTAACATTATCAAAAAAGAAAAATAAAAGTTGAATTTTGTGTGTGCGATTCTTTGGAGTTGGTGATGTCAGCATGGAGTTCAATTTATTGGTCATTCCCAATCCTTTTCTGTGAGCTTACAGGGTCTGTTCTTGCATTTCGGCTAAACTTTTACCTTGTCACTGTTTTCCAGTTTTAATCTTCTAGTTTCTTGAAAATCTTTAGGGAAAGAATATTAGAAAGGATGCCTTTTCTTCTATTTCTCATTTTTTTCCGGGTGAGCATAGGGTACTGACTTCACGAAGATAAAACTGTTATGTCCCAGCTTCTGTACGGGTCAAATGCAGGAGGCCATCAGGGTTCAATAGTTTATTTGATCAATTGGCTGTACTCTGGGTATTTTTCTAAATGTTTTATTTATTTTTCTTCCAGAAAATGGCTGATGAAAATTTAGAGCAACCTGAGATGGGTAACTTGCATGACACGGAAAACGTGGATAATATGGACGATGCTCAAGACAACAATAATTTGAATGGCACAGATAATGGGCACGGCTCTGATCATTTACACGATGCTGATCACGTGCACGACGCAGATCAAGTGCACGACACAGTTCACGTGCACGACACAGATCATGTGCACGCCACAGATAACGTGAACGACACAGATCATGTGCAAGACGCTGGTAATGTCCATGGTACAGAGGACGTGCATAACATGGATAATATTCATGATTCAGATGCTATTCATGGTGTGGATAATGCACCTGAGGAGACTCATCCTTCTGAAGAGGTACAAGTTGCTCGAATTGATTCAGGAGCCAGCGAAGAAAAACGATGGCCTGGCTGGCCAGGAGAAAATGTTTTCAGGATGTTAGTTCCTGCTCAGAAGGTTGGTGGTATCATTGGCCGCAGAGGAGAGTATATTAAAAAGACCTGTGAGGAGACAAAAGCTCGCATTAAGGTTCTTGATGGTCCTCCTGGGACCACTGAAAGAGCTGTGAGTTGCTGAATAGATATTGTCATTTACACTTTTAGTATTTACATAATTATGGACATTTTTGTATATTGTTATGCTTTTAATGATGTGAATTTATTTTAACTATATAACCGGTGATGGTTTTGGTGCAGAAAGCTACATGCTCCATTTCTCTACATGCTCCATTTCTCTTCTTACTGCTCGTTAACTCTTTTTATGTGCTTGCACATGTTAATATAAGCATCCTTGTGTGAGCTTCACCCATCTTCATGCATGTAGGATTATGATTATTTTTATTTTGAGTCTTGCCAACTTCCAGTCAATTCAGTGGTTGTCATGCTATAGCTTAAGGTTGATCTACAAGTGTTCTTACAGCTATTAGAACTGCTTGTTAATGGTGAAGTCTTCTTTTTTACAAAATGCTTGCTTATGGGCATGGTTTTAGGTATATCAAGGATAATTTCAATTGACTCATTTATTATTAGGCTGTATGAAGTAAAGATGCCTAACTCACCCACCCACCACATATACCTGAAAAGAAAAGAACAGAGGTTCAGGGAATCCCTTTAGTCTCAGCCTTACCCTGTGTCAATATGTTATTGCAAGCGAACTGAAGTGGTGATAACAGTACTGTAGTAGTGATCAATCATACATGAAATCTATGTAAAGAAGCAGTAGTAAAAAGAAAGCAGTAATCATCAACGTTGATAGTAGAATCTACTATCTCAAAAAATAAAGTGAGGGGGAAATGGTAGAAATAAGAATACTATACAGCTGCTTGAACCATAATAATGACTTAACGTCTTTGAACTTCAGAAGAGAATTTATTATTCAATTAATTGAACCATAACTATGATTAACTTCTTCAAAGTGGGCTAAAAACAATCCAGTAACACAACCAAAATGATCTCAGAAAGTTTCTTTTTCATAGTAACCGACATGAGTGTGTGCAGGTTCTTGCCCATATAAGGAAACATTTCAATGAAAGTGCGCTTTGTACTAGAAGAACCAAGATCCAGACTGCAGTCATCAGCATTGAGCATTACAAGTGCTGAAAAGTTTTTCTGACAATCCATGAGAATTGCCTTCATCCAATATCAGTTTCAAGAAGCATTGCACCATGTCTGGTAACTTCAAAACTTGGTTGGTGTCTTGCCAGAAGGTGTTCACTGTATGAAAGAGGAAGTTAACAAACGTAACTAACAATTTGCAGGACATAACTTCCAGATTAAGAACATTTAAAATCATTTATACATATGAAAAATCATAAAGTTGAAGTTTATATGCTAGGGTATAATCGAGAAGCTTGTAAAAGGAGTTGAGTAGAATTCATCTTTTTAATTTATGAGAAGTTGTGCGAAATCTAGCAGCATTGTTTTTTCAATTGACTATACCAGATGGATAAGAACTTGCTTCTATATTTCTATGGGTATGCGTAGCTAAATAGTCTTGAAATAAATGAAACGTTGGATCTGTATTTAACAATTCATATGGAATTAAAAAGGCTTAAAAAGGCATGTTAATATGTGGGCATATCTATAAGGCTGCACGCTGCAGACTCATTAGCTTATAAACGTGAATACACTTGGCGCAAAATGCCTGTGTCCTTTCAAAATGCCTGTTGACTTAGAGCTACTTATAAATTGTAGTTTACTCTGCAAGTCCTTTTATTATAAATTGATTTAGAGCTACTTTATAGATGTGAGTACACTTGGTGCAAAATGCCTGAGTCCTATCTAAATGCCTGTTGATTTTGAGCTACTACTTATAAATTGTAGTTTAAGTCTCTACAAGGAATCTCTTTTTTAAAGTTTTCNTTTGCTGGTAGGTTCTTTTGGTTGGTTGTTGGAGAATGAGCTAGCAGTAATCGTAATAAAACCGGCATATTGGACTCTATATTCTTGCTTGATTCCAGCAGTTTATCTTGGAAGCTATTGTTTTTTGCTTTTTTAATCTGCTTGTTATACCAGTATATTGATGCTGCATTATGTGTAATCAACTTTGATTCTGGTTGGAACCTAAACATATCGTGAACAGTAATTGTGCTTTGGCAAAAGTTGAATAAATGCATATCTTTCTTTATATTGTGCTGTCCGTGGATTGATAATTCTTTTCTGCTATAGGTGATGATATCTGCCAAAGAAGAGCCAAGCCTATCAATTCCGCCTGCTATGGATGGTCTTTTGAAGGTTCACAAGCGGATTGTTGATGTAGACGCTGATTCAGCTAGTGCTCCACCAGGCGCTGGTAGGCCAGTCACTACAAGACTACTTGTGGCAGCCTCACAGGCTGGAAGCTTGATTGGGAAGCAGGGTTCCACTATTAAGTCTATTCAAGATACATCTCATTGCACTATTCGAGTAATTGGAGAAGGTGCCTCACTTTAACTTAGATATCCGTGTCTTGTGTTGTTTCCTTGAGAATCTGTCAATCTCGCTACTGATCCACTACCGCTAGTCATTTGCAGTCCTTAATGCCTTTTAATGCTGTATAATCTATAGGTATTTCAAGAGAAATTTGGGTCTGTACATATCCTTCTCTAAAGTTTTTCTACAAGGAATAATATATGTTAATCTTAAAATGACTGAAGGGAGGGATGGCTTAGTGGAAAGGGCCCTCCGTCTCCAACTAGGAGGTTGGTAGTTCTAGTCACTAAGGGAGCGAAGTATGAAAAGCCACACTTGGCTCCGTTGAGTGGTTTGGGGTGTGTGGGGTTTGCTCTAGCAAAAAGAGAAAACAGACATGTTTGCTTAATATGGTGTAGGATTTTTGTGAATAAGCTGTAGGGTCTTTGATAGCCCGGGTCGACTTGCTAAAAAGTCTTATTCATGTTTGATTTATATGAACATATTTTTACTATAAACTTTGCTTCTAGGATCCAATTTGTTTTTGGACCCCTCGAAGGCTTCTTGGAAATCTTCTCAACCCCTACCCTTTTAACCTCCTTAAAAGGACTTCATGGAGATCTTTTAATATTTAATGGACTTGCTAGAGACTAGAAGTTCCTTAAATATGGGAAATGCCCTACCTTTTGAGTGTGGTTTGGACTATTGATTTATGTAATTGGAAATAACCAATTAGGTTTACAGAGAAACCTAGATTCCCCACCTTTTCCTGTCTTTATTTGAACCTCTGCGATCTCGAGCTGATTTTAGGGGTGGGCACATGGGGTCCTAAGAGGATGTGAAGCAAACTAACACTGGTACAAGTTGATCTTTAATTGTTATTGGCAATTATGTTTCTTTTAGAAATACTCCATTTTAGAAATTTTATTTGACTAGTGAGCACTAGAGAGTTTTGTGCATATCATTTCTGAGTTATTGAAATAAACAAAAACCAAGATAAGGATAATTCCAGATGTTGAAATTTTGGAAACCTGGATTGGGGGAGTCAAAAGAGAGAAGAATAGATAGAAAAAGCAATGGAAGAACAATTAGAAGAATAACACATAAGTTTCTGGGTCCTTCTGGTTAGTTTTCCTTTGTCTATTGTTTACTTCTTGAATTATATGAATTATAAACAAAGGACTGTTTCTTATTAAAAGAAGACTACGTCGTGAACTTGGTAAAGCTCAAAAGCTGACATGTTATGTTGTGTCTGTTATTATAACTTCTCAATTAAAATCCCCTTTTCCTTCTGGATATGTAATTTAATGTTTAATTCCCATCTACTGGATTCTGCAGAGCACCTTCCAGCTTTTGCCCTTCCTGATGATAGTGTTGTTGAGATACAAGGAGAGCCCGCCGGGGTGCATAAAGCAGTTGAAATGATTGCTTCACATCTCAGGAAATTTTTAGTTGATCGTAGTGTCATTGGGGTATTTGAGATGCAAGTAAGTCTACTGCTGGTTTCAGTGGATTTTGGCCTTTCTAATAATACTCTTTGAAATTATGATTCTTTTTTTTCTGCTCAGATGCAAATGCCAAATGCTCGTCCAAACCAGAACATGCCTCCATCTGGACCTTCTCAGTCATGGGCCCCTCCACCATCTGGTTTTCCTGCAAATGCTCGGGGTGGACCTGGTTTTGGGCCCAACCCTCAGTATATGCCGCCTCCACGGCAATTTGATAGTTATTACCCACCGGTAGACATGCCTCCTTTTGAAAAGCAGCCTCGTCAGGCCCCGCCTCTTTATGGTAGAGATGTTTCAATGGGAACTCATGGTACAAATGTGCAAACACAACAATCCATGGTTACAAAGGTGTGTTATTTGTATGCATTCAATCTGATGAATGCAACTACCTAATTTACACATTTTCTGCTAACTTAAGATAATTCGGGAAGGAGGATTCTGATCTTGATTAAATAAAATCACCCAACAAGGTACAGAAAGAGGTGGGCATATACATCATGCTATATATGTTGCACGTTATAAGAATCTGGTATCCTTTTGAGGATACTACCAAATAGATCCATCAAGTTGTTGCAAGTCTTGCTTTCTTTTTTGGCCTTTAATTCTTTTTATATAGAACTGCAACATTCTGCTTTCTGATGTTCTTTTCCCTTGATCCTTTTTCTTTAAAGGTCACACAAAACATGCAAATTCCTTTGTCCTATGCCGATGCTGTCATTGGGACCTCTGGTTCAAATATTAGCTATATTCGTCGGACCAGTGGTGCATCTATTGCAATCCAGGAAACAAGGGGTGTTCCGGGTGAGATGACTGTTGAGATAACGGGATCTGCATCACAGGTGCAAACAGCGCAGCAATTAGTTCAGGTAGTATCTGCTGATAATTTGATTATTGAGCTTCAATTCACCTTTGCTGTGGGTAATATTCTGTCTGTGGATAGGGACAGTGATCTTGTTTGGAATATCACTGGTGGTGCCCCCTTTTTTTTGTTTTGGGGATTGAGTTTTTACCACCTTGCTTATGGTGCAGAATTCTATTGCTGATGCTGCCAGCTCAATGCAGAACACTGCCGCTGGACCACCTTCCCAAGGTTATAATCCATATTCTCAAGGTCCTGTATACAATTCTTCATCTAGTAGCACTGGCCATACACCTGGCGCGGATTATGGTTCCATTTATGGATCCAGCTATGGTTATTGATGGATATCTTACTTAGACCAGTCATGCTGACACAATCATGAGATCTGAAGACATCTGCAGTGGGAAAGTTTTGTTGTTAGTTAGGAGGTGTATCATGATTAGTCGTAGTGGAGGATTGGATGCATTAGGTGTTGAGGTGGAATTACTGGTTTAGCATTAGTCATTTACATTCGATTTTGAAATGTTTAATTACTGGTATATTGCACTCAGTACAGGGTTACATTTTACTCGGTTTGACAGACGCTATGTGATCAATATAACTAAAACAAATTCACATTTTTATGGGCATGGTGCTCATAGGTGTGTTATTAATTAGCTAGATGGCATTATCTAGTCTTTTGTAGCTATTCTAAGTTTACTTCATGTGAGTTTTGTGTTGTGATGGCTCTGTGCATGTGCTTTTACATAAGGGGGTTTGCAGAATTATTGTAAGGGATAATGCATCTGTATGGTTCATGATCGCTGTTTTTGTTGAATGACATGTAAAGGTTGGATGTTAAGGTTTAACTCACGCTTCTATCAGAATTTTCAATTCTATGATGGTATCTCGTTTTCAGCGTGAAATACTACTATTTGCTTCGACGTAATGATTGGCACAAAGTATAGGGGGTTAACTGGACCACTAACGCGGGGAGTCTAAAGGAGAAAGACTGTATTGGACTAAACGAGTGCAAGTTGATGCAAACCAGAAGAATTTAATTTGACTTTTTGTGACAACATAATTGTCGAATTTTTTATGCCTCCTCAACTGCTATGATGTACTAAAATCTGATACGGTATTAATACACTTGGATGACGCACTGATACTCCATTCCTACTAATAGCAACCAGATACTGTGAATCTCTTCCAGTATGTCCTTTGGGTTTACACAGGTGTTGCTTCACAGATTTTTCAAAGGGAAGAGACGTGACACAAAAAAGGGAGGTACGAAAGAAGGGAAAAATTTATACGGAAGGGAGACGAGACAGAATTCAGCCCAACAATATTAATCATAAATGGTGACAACGGCCTGGCTCCATCAACTCATCAAGCAAACAAAAATTGGCTTCTCCTAATATTCCAGGTGGTCACAGATGTAAGAATCAAAATACAGGAAGCAAGGCACAGCTCCTTTGGAGCAATCAGAAATGTCATCAAGCAGGAATGCTCAATTGATGTGCTAATTTCCTCTCATGCATGCAGGCAGACCAACGGACAGTATCTGGGCACTTCTTATTTTTAGACCAAAACTGTCAATTCCACCACCGGCAAGGCAGCAACCTTAATAATACCGAGCATATCATAATGAGCAGGCTAGACCATCTCCAATTCAAGCATTTCTTTCCATGATGGTACATATGCCACAATCAACGTAACAGCTACAAAAATCTATTTGTCCCAGAAGACCATTTCATCTCTTTGAAGGAGCCGCAACCTTCTTTGCTGGTGCAGATTCAAGCTTAGGTAGCAGTTCTGATACCACCTTTTGCACGGAGACACGGTTCACCTGATGGTTACCATTTACAACCAATTTTGACAGCACAGTTAAATCCTGAGAGTTCACTTTATCATTCAGTACTTCATCCCAAAACTTATCATCCTCGTTCAAATCTGATTCCTTCAATAGTTCCAGGACCTTCCTCAAACTGGCGACATTTCTACCAGCACCACACCCCATAGCAGTTGCAGCACCCACCGCATTCGCAAGGGTTAACGTATAACTCAAAGGCAAGTCATGTATGAAGCCAAATGCAATTGCAGCCACGAAACTATCTCCACAGCCCACAGTATCTATAATATTGACCTATTACAAACAATGGGTAGATGAATTGCATGTATCAGATAGGATAAACATTTGCCAGCATGTATCAGATAGGATAAACATTTGCCAACATGTATATACCAAATTTGGGAAAGATGCACTAAACAGAAACTGTACGATTCCCACTTATTCCGAGTGGGAGAAAGGGAGAGAGAGGGAGAGAGAAGAAAGTTATGTTGTTTGGTCATTAATCAAGTGCTGCACCCTCTAAGTGGGGGTCTCTGAAGAAAGACCCCAAAGTAAAACAGAAATGTCTACAGGATAAGCTAATTAATGCAAGAGGGAACAAGTAAACTTCTGTTAAGAAGATGAATCGAGTAATTTTTCACAAGAAACAACATTTCCAATGGGTCAGGAAAATTGATACCTTGAAACCAGGTGCACAAGTTATGCTCGATTTGGTGATTAAAATTGAACCCTTCGGGCCCATCTTAACAATCACCCACTTGGTACAAGCTCCATTCTTGAGCAGCTCCTGGCCCGCCAAGATTGGGTCATCAATACCAGTTAAAGATACTGCCTGGAGAAGACATAGTGATTCAGATAAGTAACAGATATAAAAGAGTGAAGAAAGGGAAAGAGGGGATTACAGTAAACCCGTCCACTGATTTACAGGAAAGGAAGTCATAATTTCAGCAACATGACCAGAATATACAAAGTTTAAATTCAGCAACGAGGAAAAAGCCAACAAATCAGCTCGAACATCATGTTACCGTTGCTCAAGATGTCAATTTTACAACTACAGTAAACCAATTCTTTGATATACTAGGGATGAGGCTATATCCATGGATCTACCAAATCCTAGACCCTGCCAAATGGAGCCATTTTTGCCTTCCTTTCTGTTCTCACACGTCCTCTTTGTTTTTTCCTCTACAACTTATTAAATTTAAAATGTATATGAAAACGAAAAGTAGAAAGAGGTGGTAGTAGTGCAAGGAAATAGGTGCTACATAAGAGTGTTTTTCAAGTAACTGTGGGTTGTTTGCTTTAATTTTCCCCTTTGTACAGGCGATTTCTAATTTCTGATACAATTAAAGGTGCTTACCAAGTAACTGATCATTGTTTGGGTTGAAAATCAAGAGAATTAATACAGTTATAGCTTAGAGTATATCTAAGTTAGAAGTGAACATTCTAAATAGTTATTTCACAACCAAGGAATATTGGTAGCTAGGAAAAGCTTCTTACACTTCCCTTGTTTAGGAAACTTAACTTAAGTCTACTGTTTCCTTATTTCATTAAGCTCCTATAAAGCTTTTATACATTTTTTTGAATCAAGTACAATTTTATTGATAAATGGGAAAGCTCCTGTACAGAAGAGGTATGCCAAAAAAGTAGAGAATCTACATAGAGATATGATTCTCTATGTAATGGATGGTCCATGCAATTGTGAATATTTGACTAAGAGGAAAATGGGAATATCACCCAATTAAACCAATTTTCCCTCTCCCTAACCTTGTGATAGAATCAGATAAATTGTGAACAAAAGGAGGATATCATGCAAAAGAGAAAAGGGGGCTACATTAGCCTACAAATGAAAAGAACTACACAGCCTGAGTGAGTATAACTTTCTTGAACTTTTTTATACCATACATATTAGCTGCTTCTGAGCTGCATAAAATTTTGTAAAAATTTCAAGCTGTACTTTCCAGATTCCAGTCTATACCATAACTTTAGCCAAATATGACATGTTAAGTAAGATAGCTTTTAGCTATCAGAAGAGCTCTTTCAAAATGAATAATTTAGCTCATTAAACTCGTAGGAAGAACTGGTTATATTTAACATCTTCAAATAATTGGGTTATATCTAATTAAGTCACATACCGAGATGCAGGACAGCAGAAGGCACGAGCAATAAACCGATCAATAAAAAAAAGAAAAAGAAAAAAAGAAGGCACAAGCAATAATAAGTTACAAGTGTGACCAAACAATTGTTAAGAGTATGACATACAAACCTCCTCTGAAGTCAGGAGAAGCACTTCACTCATCCTCAACAACTTGCCAAGTGCTCTTTTTTCTTCAGGTCTTCCTGCAAGAAGGCTCTTACCTCGTGGTCCAGGGTCAAAAAAGATAGATGTCCCAGATTCAACAGCACACTCAACAGCAGATTCAAGAAGGCTCGGGGAGAGCTCATCAAAGTCATAACCATTGCAAAACAGGATCTTCGATTGTCTAATGGCCATCTTTACCTCAGTAGATAATTTGTCCATCCAATTGAATGCAGGATCCACATTAAAATCTGCACGACTGGAAAACATTAACATCTTAAAGGTTAGACTACTCTGAGGAACATCAAGTGGCCCAGACACTGAGCAAGCAAAGACACCTCAGATGGGAGGGGGAACAAAAAGAAGTAAAGGAAAAGAAAACTGGGAAAAGCAAGATTAAAAGGACCTGCAAAAACCATGTCTCTGCAAAGGGTCCACTAACACCCAGCATAGTAGTGTTTCATAGTCAGAACTTGGAAGATTAAGTGCTTCACTCTGCTCATTCATCCCAACAATACTAATCCCCTCATCACTAAGCACATCAATGAGGAAGCGTCCATATATTTCATCGCCAACATGGCCAATTGTGATACAGTGAAGGCCAAGCCTTGCAGCTGCTATAGCCACATTACAGTTTCCACCTGCCTCCCAATACCGCTGAAGCAGAATTAAATTATCAGGATATCACTTTATATGGTTATGCAGATACAAGAATTGGAACAATATAAGCGGATTGATGCCAGGCAAATACCACCCATTCTTCAGCAGCACTATGCAATATGTGGTACCTGGACAATGTTTTAGTATTTCTACATTCCACTTAATTAAAGAGAGGTCTAGACACCATATATAGGGCTAGATATCAAGAACTAGTGAATTGCACAAAAGTTATTACATCCCAGAATTTTGCAAATGTTAAGAGATACAACTGAGGAGTTCATGCCAGCTTTCAAAGACGATGATATCCAAGCACATAAAGTGCACATTTTACTTTGTTAAAATTAGTTGGTCCGAACCCAAACGGTGGTACCTAGACTTAATCATCAAGGTAGTTCATTTAATCTGCAAAGGAGCTCAACCATATTTGACCCACGTTTTCATTAGATGCCTTGTTAAAGTTTTTGATGCTCTAATAACTAGAGTTTCACAACTTAACAGTGTCTCATTGTTGATAAACTACTGGCAGCTAATGTCGTATATTCACCATATTAATAGTTTAAAGTCTAAAAATTATATATAATCATCAACTTAGATTGATTATTTTTCAACTAACCAAAGATCCATATGAGTGAACTTGTTTGATAATAAGCATAAATAGGGGCTTTTGTTCTGGACAAACTTATTGAGTTTCATAGTACTCCTTGCATCCTAATTGTTTTTTCTGGAAGCTTTACGGGCTTTCTGATAGTATGATTGATATCATTTCATTTGTATAAAACTTTCACAAACTTTCAAGACTTCAAATTTTTTTTATGACCGAGAAATCCCCAAGCAACCAGTGGCGCATGGTTGAAACCCGGTGGATAATGGCTCCCTCTACCCTTATCCACTTAAATACCGA